CAATGAAATAAATTATTAATAGATAACATTAATCGTGAAATCTAACAAAAGAGACATTGACTAACTTTGATTTCGTCAGCAGTAGCAAGATTGGAATTCAAAATTCTCTCTTTAAAGCTGGTCAGAGGATCCCGGGTCTGTCGGACCTCCTGCACCTCTTCTCGCGTACGATAGCTGGTTCCAGGGTCCGACATACTGTGCCCGCTATACCTGTATGTCACAGTTTCCATGATAATGGGGCCCTTACCCGACGTACAGTGATCAATTGCAAATTTCGTGGCTTCTCTCACGGCTAATACATCCATTCCATCCACCTATAATACAATTTTTATCATAAATCTCTTTACCTTAACAAAATATGAATCTTTTAAAATAGATTAATACCCATATTCCAGGAACATAGTCGCCTCTGGTATAATACTCCGTGCTTGCCGCGGCACGTTCCACGCTGGTACCCATTCCGTATCCATTATTCTCGCAAACAAAGATGCAAGGTACATCCCACAGTTTAGCCATATTATATGCCTCGAATACCTGACCCTGATTGGCCGCACCGTCGCCGTACAACGTTAAACAGACTCCACCGTTATTCAAGTATTTTTGTGCAAAAGCAATTCCAACTCCCAGTGGCACCTAATTGTGATGTTAAAATATTTTTAAAAAATGTAATATTAACAGTATTAAATTGAATTTTAAGACTAAGCAAACCTGAGCGCCGACAATGCCGTTTCCTCCATAAAAGTTCTTAGAGTACATATGCATGGAGCCACCCTTGCCTTTGGCATTGCCACCTTGTCTACCTGTGAGTTCCGCAAAAACGCCGAATACATCGATGCCCATTAAATAAGTCCATCCGTGTGCGCGATAAGCCGTGATCACAGCATCCTGGGGTCTCATCGCAGCTTTCATGCCGACTGCACAAGCTTCCTGCAAAGGAAAAGCAACAAAAAGTAAAGTATTTCTGAATCAAATAAATATTTTGAAAAGATACAAATGGTCTTTACTTGTCCAGAATACAAGTGACAGAAACCCCGAATGATCTTCTCTTTGTACAAGTTGCCAGCAGCCGTTTCCATACGACGTATCGTATGTAGCTGTTTAAATAGTTCAATAGCATCATCCCGAGTCACTGTAACCTGGGTGGATGGGCTATGGTCCAATTTGTGCAAACGAAAAGGTTTAGTCTCGAAGGAGGCTTCAGTGGCATAATTATTTTTCTTGCTCAAGAAAAACGAAGCCACCTAGAAACAGCATCTAATTAATATCTGTAGCAATGTAAAAACATATTGCAAGTGTAACTGTAGCACGTGCGACAGCGTGAAATTTACATTATCTTGTGAATCAGTGGTTGTGTTCCTTGGAAAACTCAAAGTTCTGCGTTTTCGTGTTAACATTAACTTATGTATACAAGTTCAAAGCAAATATAATGCGGCACCAAACCGCAGCACAACCGAATCGCGAGAATGATAATTACCTCGTTCCAGCTTCCAAACTGGCGAATATGCGGGATATATGAGAAAGAAGAAGACTCATGAAATACGATGTCGCAAGTAAGAGTGTCTGGGACTCGTAACGAGACCCTGACACGGAAAAACACGACGCAGCGTGTTTAGAGGTCATGCTTCGGTGCACTTACATTTCGTCTCGACGACTGCACGACGACGTTCCTGAGACAGTTTGGTATCATTTCCTAACAATGGGGAAGAGATGAGTGAAAACAGAAGACGTTTTTCGCTACGTCGAGTCCAGTGCAGAAGACCGAGACCGCCTCGTCTATGTGAACCACCTTCACCTGACACGAACCAGATGGTGTACGATGGTGCACGAACGAATGCTCCGGAGTGCAGGTGTAGATGCGGCTCCAACGACGATCATAGTCAGGGCGCAAGAGGCGCAACGAATTTTGCCACACTCTTCCTTGTACGTATACGAAAAATTCTAAGAAAAGTTGTAGACTTTCCCAGTATTTCTGAAAATTATTCGTATAAAATAGATCGTATAAAAATCCTGAGAAAAGTTTCCACCAAAGATGTCAAATGTTGTCGCCACTCTCGCGAATTTCTCACCTGTTATTTCTGCAAATCGAAATTTCAGCATTTTTTATGAAGATAATAAGTATTTCTTCTTCTCCTTGAGGTTCGCTACTTTATTATGGATGAGGTTGGATGGAATGACACTTTCTACACTTCGTAGCGCACAATGACAGCGTGATCATATGTTTCTTTTAAAACGCGAGTGCTTTTTCACAACCGAAGCAATGAAAGGCAATATAATAATAGATATGCTTCTCCATTCTTTTTTTTTTTACAATTGTCTCTAATACGTTTTCATTTTATTTTATGTACGTGACTTTGAAAATTTTCAGAAACGAATTAAAGTTGGAATGGAGGTCGACGATTCCAGCGAATACGACCGGAAAATTGTCTCCTTTAAAGACCTCGGCAGGTTTAAATTAACAAAGAGAAAATACAATGATGATTCTCTCAATATATATACAGCGAGGCTGAATGATTTGCGGGAAGACACATTACGCAGAGCGAAACTGAAATGGAGTAAGCCACGTTTATACATTCAGAATCTTTCTACGTACGTTATTTACAGTTTACGTATGTTGTAGCCGACTATCAACATATAGAAGTTTCACGCCTGACTCTGGAAAGTTCAGGAAAGTCTTATTTTCTGATAGGAGTACTTTATAAAGATCAGAGACTGAAACCTTCCCTTCTACGCGACCTCAGCAAGGAGCTTCAGCTGGAAGCTCAACCGAGTAATAATTATGCATCAGTTGACGACCAATTATTTTTGGAGGATGAAACGTTACGTGTAAAATTAGTAGGAAATCGCATGGATATACAGGAAGTAGTCACAGGGCTTGTCTGTGCGGTACTTGGACATGAATTAGAAAATGGAACATTTTGGGTATATATTTATGTAATTATGGTTATAGATAGGATTCCAGTTTGCTCATGTTGAACTTTGCTCTTAGGTTGAGGATTGGTGTTTTCCAGGATACTACCTGAAGCCTTCCAGTGTGAGCAGCTCGTTGGTAGAAGATGGAAAAATTCTGCTAATATCTGGATTAGATCTAGTTAATAACACAGACGAGTTCAGCTTAGATTTGCTTTCAGAATGGATAACCGGAATGGCGGGATGTGCCAATGTTCAAAAAGAAGAAGCTGCAATTGCTAAAGTCATTATCGTTGGTACGAATACCGAACCGTCCATATGTTCTGACTAACGATATTAAATCATGTATAAATAATTGCATAGGAAACTCCATTCGTAGTTCTACAAAAATATACAGCCACAAAGGCTATCATGAAATCAAATCGCACGACCAGCTTAAGATCAAAGAAGATGTAATGGCAATGCATAAACTTGATGCTTTTCTCAGCAATATTCTCAATTCCTGTTGCGTTGTCCTGATGCCGGGAGAATTTGATCCCACTTGCAATTATAGCATGCCTCAGCAGCCTTTTCATCCATGTACTTTAGAAAAATCAGTCAGGTAATAGCGATACATTTAAGCTTTGCTTCAAACTTTCTTTAGATAATACAGTTTAGATGTGATACAGGTTTAAAAGCATGCATGGTGCGACTAATCCTTGGATCGCTAATATTGGAGGTCGTGTCGTAGCTGGTTCTTGCGGCGGACCAATCATGGATATTATGAAAATCGCTGGATTATCCCCGCTATCTTCATTGAAATGGCTGGAGCGAACATTGATCTGGAGGCATTATGCTCCAACCGGTCCCGACACGCTATCGATTTATCCGTTTTTCAAAAATGATCCATTCGTTATCAACGAATGGCCAGATATATATTTCGCTGGAAATATGGATGAATACGACACAAAGTTAATTACAGGTAGGAATTTTTTTATCCGATTTATCAATTTTTCTTCATGACGAAATAATTCATATATATCATGTATATATATATATATATATAGCTGACGAAGGGCATGAGGTACGATTGATATGTATTCCGAAATTTTCGGAAACAAAAACAGCGGTGCTAGTCAATTTACAAGATTTGACGACACAGCCTATTTCATTCGGTGATAGGCTGACGTAATTTGTATATTATATAAAATATTCTGGTGTCTTATCTCCCCATTGTTATTTATACTCCACCTCGCTCTATTAAGATGATGGAGAGGTGGAAGCATTTCGGTTCATCGAGTTTTGGATAGGCCTGATATAAAAGATAAAATAATTGTTTATTACGTAATTGTATCATTGCAATGAAGTATTGAAAAACATAATGTCGTATCTCCATATAAAAGGAGTATAGAAGATTATTAATATAAAACTTGAATCAAAGTTTCTCAAATATATAATTTAATTTATTCATCTGAATTTATATATTATAACACATATACTTTATATGTATAATAAATATATAATTATTTATTACAATTAGCCCATTTGTCATTGTATATACCTTAATAACACATATCACATAAACTTTTAATAAAGGATAAAAATATATAAAAAAATATAAACTTCTTACAAAATGATTTATAACACAAATAAGTAATAAGATTTTGTAACCCATTTGTTATTTGCAAAAACGTACGAAAATTTATGTAATTTCTTAAATCTCTTCATCACATATCATATATGAACATTGATACATTAATATATAACATTTCTTTAAATAATTATTTCTTTACATTATTTATTATCGAAAAAACTAATATAATATAATGTCCTATATGAAATAAAATACTATAATATTACTATAAATATCTATAATATAATATTCTCTATTATATTATTTTCGTTTCTGCGATGAATACTATCTTTCTTTGGCACAAACAGTTAGTATTTTCTTAGATTACTTACATCAGTCATAAGATACATTGTTAATTTTAATAAGACTTGCACAAATGTGTAACGAATATTGGAGTTTTTTAAGGCATAAATATATGCACGATTAAAGAAAGGAAGACTAGTCGAAATGCTGTTAAAGAAATTTCAATTCGTCATTCATCCCAGTATCGTTTAGCGCTGTAACTTTTCAGAGGCCTGTAATATTATCCTGGTCTTTCTCCCATCGTGAATGTTTGTTTTGATAAAAATTTTGAGTCTCCGAACCGCAGGATCTGGAGGCAACAGGAATGTTTACACAAACAGTAGTCGATTCCAATCGCTGTTCGTTGTTCGACGAATCTTGACGTTCAGAGCTGCTGCTTTGCTGATCCTCTGACCGCTCCTCGCTTCTCATGGCACAGATTACGTCCGTAAGAGCCACTATATAATTTTTAGCCAGTGTTAATGTCTCCATTTTTGAGAGCCGCTTCTCTTTGGTAACATGCGGGATCACTTCACGTAAGGACTATAAAGATAAATTTATTAAAATAAAGTCTCACAAAATGAAAACATTGTATATTGTGTATATGATTAGAAAAAGATTTTTTCAAAAAATATCAGAAACATAGATTTATTAATATTCTATTAGTTTTATATTTTAGATATAATGTATAACAGTAGCTTTGTATGCACCTGGAACGCATCGTTCATACAGTGCATCCGCATACGCTCGCGTTCATTGCTTTCCAGCCTCCTAAGAGTTCTCTCCCATGCTGTATTTCCCTTGGAAGATTTCGACAATCCCGAGGATTCCGTTTTTCTCGTCGTTCGTCGCAGGTTCTTACTTCTCTGTTTCGATTCTGTAGCCCAAGTATTCTCATTTGTCACTTTAGACCGCATAGTATATTCCTTCCTTCTAATGAAGCAATAATTAAATTTCATCGATCACAGTTTTAAAACAGATTTCTCTTCTCATCTTCAAACTCTGACGGAAAAGTTTTTATTAAAAACTGTAACATAGAGTGATACAAGATCTTAGAAATTTTAAGTTTTTCATGGATATTATTTGTAGTGGGACATAGAGTCTTATTTTTTTAACTAAGAAATTTTTTATTCTCAAACAAATCTCATGCATATTTTACGTTTCGCTATAAATATCTATGAAAAATTAAAAATTTCTAAGATCTTCCCTGATGAACTTTTTTTTTCAGAATTTTTCATATAATTTTTCAGAATTTCTATATAATTGTATAACTTTTTCACATTTTTTATAAGAATTTCATTTCTCAAAAAATCTACATCTTTCCTCAGAATTTATCATATACGTCAATTATAAAATATCGTAAGATTTCTAAGATTTTTTATAAGTATAATTTCTAACGAAATGTTATAAAATCTAAAAAAATTTAAAAATATTTTTTAAAAATTATGGGATGAAAAATTTCAGAATATTTCAGAATTCACTTGTATAAACAAATTCTGAGAGAAGATGTAAACTTTCCGAATATTTCTGAGTATTTCTGAAAAATGTTCCAATTCGTATAAAAATTATGAGAAAAATTTTCGCCAGAGTTGTCTCAATCTATGTAGTTTTTCTGTCCCTACTGAAAAAAAAAATCACTTACTGATTTGGAGTAATCTGTTACGTGTTTTACTTATCTTAATTGCATGATTTCGTTGTTTAATTTTAAGACGTAATTTTTTTCAGTAAGGCTACTTTTTCGTAAAAATATTTTTCCGCCAAGGACACATATCTTTCTATATTTATATACCTTTTTATATTTGTCTCCAAATAGTAAGCAAAAAGAGAAACAGAATAAAAATATATTAACAAATTGAAGATACAGTATTGATACTTGACATTTTCTATTACTTCTTACCAATATTGATCAGATCGTTGACTAATCGATGTTAATTAAAAATGACCTATGATCGTATTTTCACAATTCGTGCTGTATATTTCATCGATTTAATACATTTTGACATCGAATAACTGTATGACAAGTCACGTCATAGATTTTCCAAAATTTCAAACCGTGTACTAAGCACCGCGTGTACTTGTTGAGCCACGCTGGAACAACGACTGACGTTGCGACGCCGGGGTGCGGCCGGCGCCGCCTTCCACCCCCGATATTTTATCATGTACTCTGTGATCTTTTCTTTTATCTACATCACTAATCTCATCATGTATTCGATATATCATTGTTTCTTCGTACACTATATTCTCTAACAGTACGAAGTAACAAATATTTCGATATTCAAAGAAATACTTTCTGATTGAAAATGCTTTAATTTATACAAATTAATCATAACTCAGCCTATTCACATCTATTTTTCCATACAACTTTTTACACGATCTTGTCGAGGTGTTCTATAAACAAGTTTGGATAATCAATATTCTAACTAAATATGTTCAATTTACATCTAATGTTTGTTTTCAAATAATAAAAAGCGAATGGAAAAAAACGAATACGAACAAGTGTTGCGCACTTTGCACACCCTTTATATTCCAGTGTCTATGTGTGAGCGGGCTACAGGTGGGCGTATGACGTAATTCGCCCACGCGGACCCTCCTATCTACCCATTATCGCTCCGCTAGCAACAACTTAGGGATGACGGGGGTTTAATATAGACAGACTTCAAATGCACCTGCTCGAATTTATATCAACATCTAATAAAAAACTTATTAAAAATTGAGCAACTTATTAAAAAAGGTAAACTGAGCAATCATGATAGGACAAGGAAAAATATTTACATTTAATTTAACAGGTTGACGATTTCATAACAAATTTGGATTGCATATTTATGACTTCTTTATTTGTCTATTTTACATTTACCACAACAGGCATCAGTTTTTTCCAATTCAGATTCCTTGTGATTAGCGGTCCACGGTCCAAGGCTGATCGTAGCGTAGAAATCCATGGGATAAGGTCGATCCTTGTCGAACTCTGCCATCCTAAGAGCGACAGCGCCTTCGTAGGGTGTGAGAAATGGTTTCTCAAACGCGACACCCCAGTCAATGCTCAATCGTGGACACGCAATCTTGAATAAAATTTATTGATATAGTTTAACATACATAAATTTTTTGAATTATATATTAACTGTAACTCGATCAAATATTTTCTTTTTTTCATAGCTCTTTTTGAAGTTACATATTTCCTCCCCAAATATGTATATATTTTTTTAATTTAAATATTTTCCTACAACTTCTCATAAATTAAATACAATAATATAAAATAAATTAAACGTAAAAGTATTAATAAAGGAAGAGGAAGACGAATAAATTTTTGAAAACTGATGTTCTCATGAGAGATCGTACTTGTATGAAAGCATCAATGTCTTTGAACAGCTTGATTTTATCCGGGAATATTTCCGACAGTAATATCACGACATTCTTCTTTCCTAAAGCCTGAATTCTATTTTGCAGAGTTTTCAATACACGAGGACTGCCCTGTCTACCTAGAGTGCTAAGCACTAAAGCATATTTGTCAGTTTTGACAGCACGTTGTATCGCCTCGTGCCTGGTCTTCAACATTCTTTCATGATCATAAAACTCTTCGGTTAATTTCTTTGCATATGGATCATACTTGAATGCCCTTAGTTTAGGATTAGCAATCATAATAGCCTCTAAATGGAAGCGACCATCCCCTATGTACATCACTGCATCAGCGCAGTGAACCTGTGGTGCTGTACATCCTAAAATCTTTAAAAGCCATTGTTTATTTATCTATTGTATCATATTAATGATTAAATATATTAAAGAATGTATTGTACTTCTCCAGGACTAAGTGGCTTGCTTTGTGGCACTAAGATTTCATATCCTTCTCTTCTCAATTCTGCTGCTACCGCTTGTACTGTTGTAGCAAACTGTATTGTACTAACTAGTGCTATCTTTGTAGTAATTGGTAGAGTTAGTTTCAAGCAGTCCACGCAATGCAAAATGTCAATTTTTATATTAACAAACACATAAAGTACTTTGATACCAGCAGTCTGATCTACTGGTATAAGACACGAGTGTCCGTAATGGACCAGAAAGTCTGCATCCAATGCTCGTGTCGTATAATCATCTACACAGCATGCTCCTATAATAAAATGATATTATAAAATACTGAAAGCATTGGACTGACTCATTCAATTATACCGTAAGTGACATCGGCCATAATAACAGTGTCTGCTTCAGTAAAATCTTCAATGATGTCAGCTATAGTTGTAGCATACATCAGAAGACCTTCTGGCATTTGTAGAACTACTCGCTTTGCCTTGACTTCTCTAATTCTCCAAATCGTCTTGTGTATCTCAAAATTATAATTCGTGGGTAAAGCGGCTATGGCAGAATTCAACAGAGGATCGTTCAAAAGTTCCTCGGGAATTTTGCTGACTCTCGTGGGAGCTTTGAAAATTTTGCGAACAGGCTTCGCCTTGATGACTACCACGGAGTCGCTCTGTTCAGCCATCTCTTCCAACTCGCGATTGATCGAATTCTCAAAAGTATTTTAACACGTGATTTACATAAACATTATATTGTCTTTGTATTAGCAGCAACTATTCGCAACGAGCAAATAAAAAAGAGGTACAAGTTAGGTTAAGATTAGGTTAGGAACAGAGATAAACATATGAAATTATAAAACTGCATCTCGATGTTTTAACAGAACTTACTACACATACGAACTACACATTTCCAATATATTTATCTTTACAAACAAATACTAAAAGAAAATATTAATTATTAGAAAATAAAAAAAAATAAAATTTTACTCAGGTCCCACCGAGATTTGAACTCGGATCGCTGGATTCAAAGTCCAGAGTGCTAACCATTACACCATGGGACCTTGTATGAAAGACGTCCTCTCTATTATCACCTTTAAGGATAACATGTATAAAATACAATTTAAAAAAAAGTAATTTAAAAAAAAGAAAGAAGTCAAAATGTTTTGTACGAGGCTTTATTGAAAAAAATAATCTTAAAAATAGCAGAATTAATAACGTGTTCCTACTCTCAATAAAAAATCGACATCTTCAAAAATATATAAACTCTTTCGCCATTTTTCTTTCTTCATTATCGACATATCTTTTTATCGACCGTTTTAATTTGTTAGTTTCTCATCATTGTAATAGATATCCTTTTTTCATACTTTCTTCATTACCTACATATTTTCTAACCTCAAATACCTTTGATGCTAATCACTTGAATATACGCCAACTTTGCTTATTGTTCCCGATTGTTCTGCAAACACGCGAGTTTACACGTGGTCTATGTGATTTAATTTTGCAAACTATTTTTATGTATTAATTATATTAACATTATGGATGCTCACGATCTTTTTAAAAAGCTTGCAGTCGGGGCTAAATTTGATGTAAAACGCTTTCGAAAAGATGCAGAAAGATTTCAGGTAATCGATTATTCAATCTTTGAAGGACATGTTTTTCATGTGCTCGTTTAATATCATAATAATATTTTGTTAGATTGTAAAACCAAGTAAAAATGAAGTCAAAATAAACAATATAGTTGAGAAAATGAAAGACGAAGTATTAGAGCCTACAGAAAACAAAGCAAAAAGAAAATATAAAGATGAGAACGAAGATGTTGATGAAATAACATTGCTGAATGGACTATCGGTACCGAAAGATGGAAGTGTTCCAATTAAAAAACGTAAAAAAGTCGCAACTGCTGACAAGATGTTAAAATTAGAACAAGAAAAGGTTTGGTATTTCCGTAATAAAATTACAAATTACAGCTGGCACTTTTTACAAGAGAATTCAAATTTTCGATGCTTTGAAATTCCCAAATACTTTAAACTTAGAAGATTTAGAGTTAATTTTAGAAATTTGAATTCTTTCTAATCTTGGAAGTAATAGCTCTAATATAAATGTAAAAAAAATATTTTTTAACATATCTAAAATATCTTTAATTTTTCAGATAAATCATCTGAGAAACATGAATCGTATTTCAGTCACAGGCAGTCATGTACCTAAATTAATATTAGAATTTAATGAATTAAAAACTAACTATCAAGTGCCAGAAAATTTGTTAAATAATATGAAAAACAGTGGATACTTTTATCCAACACCAATACAGATGCAAGCAATGCCAATTATGTTAGAGGTAAGTAAATTTCTATAATAAGCTGTGTAATTAAAATACTTTTAACAAGTGTTATTTTAACAAGTTTTTTTTTCAATGACAGGGTAGACAGATACTGGCTTGTGCCCCGACAGGATCAGGGAAAACTGCAGCATTTTTGTTACCAATCATTCATAGTTTACGAGGACCACAAAAGAAGGGCTTTCGCGCTATTATTCTAAATCCTACAAGGGAGTTAGCCAAACAGACTTATAGGGAATGTTTGAAATTGAGTGACGGCTGTGACTTTAGAATTCATATAATTAGTAAAGTGAATCAGGCTCTTACCAAATATGGGCCTTCAAGCTCGCAAAAGTTTGGTGAGTTAGCCAGTGTGAAAATTTTGCTATAGAAAAGATCTTATTAAAACGTTTATTTTTGTTCCAGATATTTTAATTACTACGCCAAAGCGATTAGTATTTCTCTTAAATCAAGATCCTCCAGCCATTTCATTAAATAAGTACGTTTTTTACAATTACAATATATTGATTACATATATATTGATTATAATATATATATTGATTAAAATTAGCACTTAAATATAATAATATTCTTATTCTGTTTTGTACAGTGTTGAATGGTTGATTGTGGACGAAGCCGATAAACTTTTTGAGGAAGGAATACGTGGTTTTAGGGAGCAATTAGAAGAGATTACAAAGGCCTGTGTTAGTACAAATTTACGTCGCAGTATGTTCAGTGCGACAAATACTCCAGCAGTGTCAAAGTGGTGCCGTCGTAACATGAAGGGTCTTATAACAGTAACAGTTGGACAAAGGTAC